GACCACGCTCGCTCTAAGCCTAAGCTCTGAAGAAACTCTGAGACCGTCTTGTACCACTCCAGAGGAGCATCTACCAAACCGTAGCACGCCTTCTTTAAACGGGTGATGGAACCCCGGGCCAGGCCCATTCCATCACAGATCTCATCACAAGGAATACAGAAGAGATCCCCTGGGTAAGGCCTTCCTTGCAAGAAAGCTCCAGAGACGTCTCCTTTGTACACTTTCCAACGTTTGTTGGCACTCATTTGCAAGAAGCACTGGCGGGTTTGTCGACTCATAACTGGTGACGTAGTAGCACGATGTTCATATGCCGGGTCTTGATACCCTAATAAAACTGCTCTCGCCTTGGCCTTGCGGCCCCCAGTATCAAGCTGTTTCCATGTCAACACCCATCGCATATTGATTGCAGTAGCTTTGTCAGGCTTCAAGTGGGATGGCAACGCTTCAAAAGCTTCGGCTGCCAGAAAATTCTTAACCTCTGACATCTTGGCAGTTTTGAACTCCGCCCGTTCAGCCTCCGACAGCTTCCGTTCACAGACTTCTACTGCCCGCTTCTTCATGGCTCCCACAAAATATCCTGACAGATTCGCTGTTGCTCGCTTGAATCCCCGGGAACTCTCTGGCATCTCGATCTGAACCTCGACGGCAGCTTCTGCTGACTGCCACCACTCACTTTGATCGCCCCATGCAGCATCCGTAACTTCGTGCCACCAGCAATAACCCACTTCCTCCACGCTGGCCGTCAGCGCTGAGTCCGTCCGTGGGATCGCCGATGGCCTCGCCTCGGCAGATGGCTCCATGGGCTCATCGGGCCCACTCTCCCTGGCAGGTCTCTTCCGGGTGATTCGATGGCGTATGGGTTGTTCCTCGCGTTCGGGATCTTGCGCTCTCTGCCACTCCTGAAGATTGGGCATGTCCTTTGTCAGGTCTTCGAACTGATTGCCCCCAATTTCTTGGGCGACCTTGGTGTACGTCCAAGGGACTTGTTTATCCTCTGAAAGAGCCTCGATGAGCTCTTCCCGCTGAGAAGCATGCCGGAGCTGCTCCGGCGCGCACTTCAGCAGCTGGCGTCCACGCACCAACCACACTGAACTTCCCGGCCTCAGTTCTCCGCTGTCGCTCCGCCGGGTCTCTGTGGCCAATACGCGCGCTGGCCCTAAGAATCGTCCTTTCTTGGTGCCGGGAGCATGCTTGCCCTTTCCCGATTCTTGGCATCTCCAGAAGTACACTAATTGCCCAGGATAGAAGGTCAATGATCGACGGCCTCTGGAATTCTGAGCCCGTAACAACCTTTGATGCGCCTGCCACTCGCAGTGTGCTTTCTCCGCCTGCGTCTGTCGTTCCAAGTTGCGTGCGAACTCTCCTTCGGGGTTTTCAATTTGCAGCTCATCAGGGGTCCCATCTGCCTGATCTATCAGCCGACCTGTAACATCTGCGCTCCGGCCAAAAGCATGCTGCAACGGCGAAAACCCTCGAACGAGATCCCGTTGGTTGAAAGTGCGCACAGCAATTGATAACAAATCCTCGGAAGTGGCCTCGGGGTCTCCTTGACACGTCTTAGACATGACCTCCTTCAAGCCCTGAACGGCCTGTTCGCAAGTACCAATCTGCCAATGGGCTTCTCCCGGAATGACATCTAGAAAGATATGGTTTCGATCGCAGAAATCCACCACTGCTTGGCTTCGGAAAGACCCCGCCGGATCCAATCGCAAACAATTAGGGTTACCAAAGTATTGGGTCCAGCCTTCCATGAGGTAATGCAAACAAGCGGCAGCTGTGGGTGTTTGTTTGGAACCCTTGCACAAGACCCTCGCAGCCCTATACCTGGACCCCTCATCAATGATGACCATAAAAGCGACGTGTTCCCCAGTCACTGGGTGTCTCCAATGTCCAATGTCGGCAGAAATGGTGGCCCATTTGGGCGGTAATGGTTCCAAGGATGCAACGTGTTGCGGGGGAACTCGCCTTCTTTCATCACAAATGCTACACGTGAAAGTCTTGGCTAGCTCCAGGACTCTGGGGGCTACGTTGCGTCGCTTCAGTGCCTGATACAGATGTCGCATGCTGCCATGCCCAGTAGCGGCGTGCAAAAGATACAAGTACCGCTTGATCTTTTCATCTTCCTTCGCTTGGTTACTTGCAAACTTGTACTTCCATACCCCGGGCCTCTGAATGACATTAGCCTCCTGCACCTCAGGAAACTTGAAACCCGTTTTCTGAAGTTGACCCTGAACTTCCTCGGAAATCTGATCCCAACCCCGACTCACGTAGTAGGTCACCGCTATTCGCTGACCCGACCATGGACACGTCGCGTGCCACACTTTAGGATCAAACGGAACTACCTTGTGCCGGGTGGCGTGCACCTCGCCCCACAGTCGTTCGCCATCCGGTCGAACCTGAGGCAAGGCGCGCTGAGATTGTTCTGAGAGCTGGGGGTTGTGGACCCACAGCCCTCCGTCCTTGTACTGCCCCAGTCCTATGAGGTGGTTGGGGTGACTCGCGCTGTTGTTCACATCCCTGTGCACGGGCATCTGATTGTTTCGACTCACTGTGAGTGAGGTCCATTTGGCATCCTTCGGGAGATGTTGTTTTCCAAAAGCATTCAGGTAAGTCGTTAAGTGTGGGTATCTCTGAACAGCTTTGGTGGCTCCATAGAAGGCTCCATGGCTGTAGACCCCCAGGGTCAAGTACTCGGCTTCCTTGTCAACCAAACTACGGTTCAGGTTGGGGCTCTTCAACTGGGTCTTATTTAACAGAGCTTCACATGCGGAAAACGAAAAATCTCGCTTCTTCAAAAGTTGCTGGGCCTGTGCTTCAAGGTCTATTTCTTCAGAACTATACGCCTCGGACCTTTCGGGGGTCTGAACACCTGAAAGTACCTGATCCCCGGGAGCCTGGGCAGATACCTTGGACCCTGAAGCCTGTCCTACTGGTCCCTCTGAAGGTCCCTTCACCTCCGAAAGCAAAACCCGATCCCAGCAAAGCGGACACTTCTGCTCCGGAAGGTTCGGAATCCGTAGGTCCTCGCAGAAGCACATAGCCCCTGCTCCAAACAGCTCTGGGAGCTGCGTTGCCCCTAGGCACTCCTGTTGAACGTCGCTGTAGTCCAACTCTTGAAGCACACACTTTGCTACACGTCTCGCAAACTCTACCGTGTACCTAGCACTCGCGGACCCATACTTCCCAGTACATGGAGCATGTTGATAGTTCTTTGGACAACGACACGGAAGGTGAAGGAGCTTTGCCAAGCGACTGTGCGTGGTGATCATTCTCCATCCTTTCTTAAGAAACTTACCCTTGGGCGTCTCCCTAAGGTTCACAGCACACCCTTGAGTCACCACTTCATGCAACTGGTATTTGTCACGCAGCTTCCGAACAATGGGCAACCTCCATGCTAAGGATCTCTCACTCATTTCCCAAACCACGTGAATCCCTCTCTGAACGCAGTACTGAAACACCACGCTGCAGCTGGTATACACGCGCCGTGCTTCAAGCCGCTTCTGTGCCAAAGCCTCCTGTTGTTGGGAATTCCTGGAATTAAGGTTCTGGAGGGGGCTATAGGGTCCCTCAGGGGGTGACAGCCACACGCACACTGGCTGCTCGATGTCAATCCTACTCAGCACCACATGAAGTCCCTCCTTGGTTCCTATGTCACACGAATTCCACAACGAACACCGTGTAGCGGCACCCTCATACCCTGCGGCTTGCTGCACAGCACCGGACAAAAGGCTGTCAGGCTCGCAACACACCTCCATGAAAATGCTTCGGTCTTGCGTCACTAAACCTTGGAAGAGGCTAGGGACTAGGGACCAGGCCTTCTCTTCTAAGGCCTGCGCCGCTGCACAGTTAAGCTCGCAACACACACCATCGTTCGAGCCGTCAGCATTCTCACCCGAGGTAGGTGTAGGAACCCCGGTAGCCGTCTCACGGATCACTTCTTGTTCGTGGGCTCCACCTTCTCGAAGCTGCTGATCGATTTCATGTCCTCGTCGGGGTGATTCTCCCGGCGTGGCCTCGATCCGCGGCGGTCGCTCTGCAACTCCGCCACTTCGCTGCGTAGTGCATTGATCGCCTCCATCATCTCCCGCTGCATCAACATCTGAGCACTCTCCATCCCCACACTCGAAGTGGACGCGCCGCTGTGGCGGCTGGACGATTTGGGCGCTGCGCCACTGCTCATCAACGTCTTGGGCGGCTCCTCGCGGCGGCTCTTCCACCCCGTGGCCTTGCGGGGTCCTTCGCTCTGCTCGCTGTTCGTGGCGAGCCACTGCGCCAGGCGATGTAGGCGAGGGTTCGCCTGTCCCTCGCGGGATGTCTGAAGCACCCAGTCGCAATACTGCGGTTCCTTCTGCTTCAGTTCGGCATAGCTGAGGCTTCCGTGCGCCCCGAACCCCACAGGGTCCGTGGCATCGGCCACAGCCAAATCGTACACCTTGACCATGGCCTGGTTGATGAGCTGCTGGATGGTGGAGTTCTCGTTCACATTCAGGCGCAGCTCGTCCTTCAGGTAGGCGATCAAGCTGCTCTTGCGCGCGCTTGCCCGCGTCAAAGCCTTGGTCAACTTCTGGTAGTCGCTGGTGGCCGCCGAACCGGTAGCCTCTGGATCTTGTCCTTTCTCCTTCATGAGTTCTTGGAGCTGCTGCTGCAACTCCAGCTTCCTGGTGGTCATCTCCGCATGGCCTCCCAATTCGTGGATAGCCTCCACAAGCTGAGTCTTGTTCATGCTGCTCACGCTGGGCATGTTGCGGGGACACCGTCGGTGGAGTCGATGGAATGCTCGAGGAGTGCTTGGGATCACTGAGAAGGCTGCTGGTTTTCAAAGACAACTTAGACTCTGGAAGTGGAAATACGTCACTCACACTCCTATCAGCATGCACACAAGACTGCTCACTACCCTGGGGGAGCGGTGTATGTACATCTGATACAAACCCTTTGCCTGCAAAACTTTCTTCACCCTTCTGCTGCAAGGCAGGCGCTGTGCGCGGCAGAAGGAGCTGTCCCTACTCATCCGGTAGGATCACGTCCTGCAAGCTTTCGATCGTCTTCTTCAAAGGATAAGAACGCTCGTACAGATCTTCGGTAAGGGACAACAATTGATGGCCCGTCGCAGACCTCTCCAAACGGATCGCCCGATTGGGGTCCAGACGTCGAAAGATAGCAAGATCGTGTTCAAAATCTATGAGGGCGCCTAAGGCGCGAAGTGAGTGCACCGAAAGTAGCACTGGACCCGATCCTTTGTCTAGCGTATGCACCCGGAGTTTTCCGGGCTGGCCCTGGGCTCTCAAGCGTACCTCAGTTGTGCTGATACATGTGTCCATACTGGAATTGCCAAAGCTGAACGTAGGGCGGTCGGACTTGTCGATCGAGAGGATGCCGTCCTCGCCGAAGTTCCGTTGGTTTTGGCGCCCCAAAGCTTCCAGCGCCTCCACGCTCGCGATGGTGCGAGTGGCTCCGCCGTCGACTACGGCCTTCCCTGCTTGCACTGCTTCCGAAGTGCTCAGACCCGTGCTCAATGCCAACTCATGATCCTCCATTGTTTGGCTGGCCAGGCAAACGAAGGGAGCGGCTTCATCGGTTTGCCGCGCTTCTTCCTGTTTCTCAGGACATGTAGATGTACGATGGCCCTTCTTTCCACATCGGAAGCAGGTGATCTCGGCATCATTGCGGGGTGCCCCGGTGTTGCGGGGGTTCGGTCCGAATCCGCGGCCCTTGCCGCCACCATACCGGCGCCCAGCATTTGCTCCTGCGCCCGTGGCGTAGTAGCGACGCGATAGACGGACCTCGGATTGACGGGCCCTCGCATCCTTGAGTGTCCGGCGATTCTTCTCAATCGCTGCCATGGCTTCTTGCGCTTCTGATTCTGCCTCCTCCATGATGACGAGGCCCTCTTCGGTCATGCCCTCGTCCTCCAAGTCCTCCTTGGTGTACTCTGCCTCATAGGCCTGCTCCTCGTCGTCCTCGTGCAACTCGCCCATGTACCCGCTCTGGCGGTTCTGCTTGTCCCGGCGCTGCAGCTCAGAGTCTGGCCACTGTGACCGGAGCTCTGCCGCCACATTCTGTAGCTCATAGTTGCCACGAAGAGCCGTCTGCACCAAGTTCCTCTCTTGGATATTGAGGCCAGAGTCTTGGAGGAGAAACCATCCCTGAAGGAAGGTTGGCACCAACTCAGGCATCACAAGCTCCTGAGTTTCCGTAGCCGGCGAGGAGGCCCACGCCGTCCCTGCCTGCCACGGCTGACCCCAGTCACTGTAGTTCCACGAGTTGTAGCCATAGCTGGACCAAGAGGCACCATACCAGGCATTCTCATGCCACGCACTGTTCCACCGATGGTCTCCGTCTTGCCCTTGGCCTGTGGTGGCCGAGGTCGGGGCTGCCGCCTGGCTGTCCTCCTCGGCGTCGGCATCGCCCGGAGTGGTGGTACTCGGTACTTCCTCGGTCCCCATGGAAGCCTGAGAGTCCCAGCTGCCACGGCGTCCACCTCCATAGGTCCAGGAGCTCTGCGGCAGCTGTGCCGGGATCCCCCGACCGCCGCGGTTCACTTTCTGGTCCTTGGAGACTCTCACCATGGCTTGTTGTGCACGAACATAGGCTTCACACTTCCTGGTCACGTAGTCGTTCACCGTCTCATGGGGTTTCCGCTTTGTGCCCCGGAAGTACTTCATGAGAAGCTCTGATAGCTCCGGAAGCTGTGGTCGTCCCAGCTTCTGACGAAGGAAGTTCATAAGAGCCTTCACGCCGTCTGCGTGAACGCCCCATCCGGGGTCTTGTCCCAGAACCAGCCGTTTGGCTGCGCCTGAGAGCTCTGCTTTCAACTTTGGCACGCACATGTGTCGCTTGTGGTACGCCTGGGTCTCGACCCAGAGTAGGCTTTCTTCCTCATAAGCCTGGAACAAGGACGGGTCCCCGTTCCACTGAGGCACACCATCTTTACTTCGAGATGGACCATCACTTGCCATCCTGAAAGAGGCGAACGTCTTTCAGGTCACCGCGCGAAGTGGCCCTGGATCGCGGCTCTGTCCTCAAAGGAGGTAGCTTCAGGAACCTGACGAATCAGGCTCCGCTACCATGAAAGTGTGGTAGCTCACTGTGCCCCAGCGCTCGACGATAGGAGGGTGCTCGGGAGTGCTTCCAGAAGAATGGCTAGGCGAACGTAGCTAAAGCTGGAATCAACGCACTCTTTTGCTCGGGCTCCCTTCCTCGATAGTCAAAGCTGCGAGAAGACCGTGAATGCGTCTGATGCACTCGAAAGCAGAATGTCTTTTGCAGGGGTTTAGGGGTTTAGGGTTTAGGGTTTAGGGGTTTAGGGTTTAGGGTTTAGGGGTTTAGGGGTTAGGGGTTTAGGGGTTTAGGGTTTAGGGTTTAGGGGTTTAGGGGTTAGGGTTTAGGGGTTTAGGGGTTAGGGGTTTAGGGGTAAAGGAATTACAACAAAGAAAGGAGACTGTAGGAAGGGCTTTTAGGGTCAAAGGTGGGTCTAAGGCTTCTCGGGTTTATGGTTAGTTTAGGGTTCAGAGTTTAGGGGTTTAGGGGTTTAGGGGTCAGGGATCAAGCGGGGGTTTAGGGGAAAGGCTTGGGGTTTATGGCTTTTCGTGTTGAGGGTTTCGGGCTTCAGGTTTAGAGTTTGTGGCTTAGAGTTCAAGGTTTAGGGTTTCAAGGTAAGCGATAACTCTAGGCTTTACTTCTAAGTGGGGTTTTACAGTGTGTCCGGCTCCTGAATAGGCTCATTGGGTTTGTAATTTCATTCCGGAAGCTGATTAAGAAACCTTTGGGGCTTTAAAAGTCTCTTTATCAAGATTGTCACGAGCTACTGCGGCAGATCAGAGCGAGAAAGCTGCCGGCTCCTCCTCTATGTGTCTATGCTGCGGTTGAGGCTACTGTTGCCCTTCTTTCCCTTCGCAGACGTCAATCAGGGGTCGCTGGCCGTTCAACTCGGCCCAGCCATAGCCCAACCCTGTTACAAGTTCAACTTCTTGGGATCGGTCCAAGAGTCGTCCTGTTTGACGATCTTCCCATTACAAATCTGTACAAGTTTGGTCAAAAGAAATTGCGTCTTATGACTCCATCGCTGTACATTATATGTATAATGAAACATATTTGCAGGCAACCTCTTGTGGCCGGCACAAGCATCAAGACTGCAACATCTTCATTTTTACAGAGGCATGCCCTCGCCCTTCAACTGCTCCACCCAAGTTGCGATGCGGTCATCGGTCTGGTCATCTTCGTTGTCTTCATCAAGAGGGAGTCCCAAAAACTTTCCATCTTTCACCTGAGTCTATTCTGCGAGACTAGTTTAGTTTAACCAAAAACAAAGATTATCCTCTCGAAGCTGGATCGAGGTCCCACTTCTACTCCGTAATTAACCGAAACCATGCTCGTTGGTGCCCCGGTCACGCTCTTGGACTCGCCGTAAGAGTAGCCAGATTCATCCACGTAGCCGACCATCTTGGCACCTGCAGCTTGGAAAGCGTTGTGAAGCTCCTCAATGCCATCACAGAAGTTATCTGCGTAGCTCTGAGAGTCACCGCAACCAAAAACGGCCACGACCTTGCCTTTGAGGTCGTACTCCTCCATACGGGGGCTGTAAGCAGGGGTTGCCTTCTTGCGCTAAGAGGGGATCGCTACAAAGCTTTTCCAGGCCGCAGACACACACCATCCACGAGTAGCACAACTTACGTACCGGGACCCTATTTGGGACAGAGTTTCTAGGGATTTAGAGGTTTAGGGTTTAGGGCATGCTGGACTCCTTGATGGTGTCAAGGTAATCATCCCAGGTGGTTCCGGAGCGGTACTCATCTGCTCCTGTGTTCCAGGTAGGGCAGCCTGCGATCACTCCATCTAGCTCAGAGAAGTCCTCTCCATCGTAATCCGAGGCTTCCAAACCTATCAGGGCGGCTGTTATGGTTTAGGGTTGAGGCGCTTCCAAACCTGTCTGGAGATTGATGCAGGAGCGCTTTCAGCAGAGGACCGAGTTCTCAAGCAGCCGACAAACTCGGAATCTACGGACAGTGGGAATTACAGGTGTTGTTGGTGAGGACTCGCTAGGACCCGTCGCCCCAACAGGATTCTGGCTAGTGCTATGGGGGGCCGTTGGAGGAACTTCAGACCTGTAGCTTCTGCCAACTTGGAAGCCACCGTTTCGGTGTTGCCCGTCTGCGTTGCATAGAAGATTCCCACAGCAGCACGCGCAGTGCAGGAGTTCCTCGGCGCGTTGAAAGCTGGTGGGCTCTTACGCCGGAGCTTGTCTACACTAACCTAAACCCCGAACCCAAGACCCTAAACCCGAAACTCTAAACCCCAAACTCTCTTCCAAATCCGGCCCAGCTTCTGCCTACCGAAGGCTTTCAGTTTCTGCTGCAGAGCACTCTGGAAGGAGACCTTTGGCCCTCGAGTTCCTGCGAAGGAAGGTGCCGACCACCGCAACAGGGCGAAGGCTGCAAAGAGCGAGAACAAAGCGAAACGCGGGGCTCTGGCCATCTTAGGCGTAAGCTGAAGAGTAGCTGTGGATGTCCGCTCTACCACCTGGGGCCAAAAACTGCCCAGATGCCCTGCTTGGGGAAGCACATCTCAAGTCTAACCAAAGGCTTTGTGTCATTAGATTCGGCCGAAGAACATCCCGTCCGGTTTCTAGGTTTCCGGATTAAAAGCAAATACTCAACCAGTTCCTCTGCTCGGAACGGAAATAGGCAGCATCGAAAACGCATGCGCCGAACACCTGGACACAACTTCAGTCTCATGCATCGCTGAACTATGAAAGCTAGCGCGGCCGCCATGGAAACTGGACCCCAAACCTCATCCCGAAATTCTAACTAAGGGCCGTACATCATGAGGTTACCGAAACGGATCCCAGACGGATTGGCATATCATTAGTGATCAATAGTGTCATGGGCCCACTGCGGCAGATAAGAACGAGAAAGCCGCCGGCTCCTCGTCTATGCGTCTACCTTTGCTGTGGTTGAAGTTAATTTTGCCCTTCTTTTCCTTCTCAGACGTCAATCAGAGGTCGCTGGCCGTTCAACTCGTCCCAGCCATTGCACAACCCTGTTACAAGTTCAACTTCTTGGGATCGGTCCAAGAGTCGTCCTGTTTGACGCTCTTCTTCTTACAAATCTGTACAAGTTTGGTCAAAAGCGATTGCGGCTAATGGCTCCATCGCTGTACATTATGTACATGTAAATATATGTATACAAATAATATTTGCAGACAGCCTCTGGTGGCCGGCAAGGCATCAAGTCTGCAACATCTTCTTATTTACAGAGGCATGCCCTCGCCCTTCAGCTGCTCCACCCAAGCTGCGATGCGGTCATCGGTCTGGTCATCTTCGTTGTCTTCATCAAGAGGCAGCCCCAAGAACTTTCCATCTTTCACCTGAGTCTTTCTGCAGTACTGGATCATCCATGTATACATACATTACCTCAAAGGCTACGTTACTGAAACCTTGCTCGTTGATGACACGGTCACGCTCTTGGACTCACCGTAAGAGTAGCCAGATTCATCAACGTAGCCGACCATCTTGGCACCTGCAGCTTGGAAAGCGTTGTGAAGTTCCTCAATGCCATCACAGAAGTTATCTGCGTAGCTCTGGGAGTCACCGCAACCAAAAACGGCCACGACCTTGCCTTTGAGGTCGTACTCCTCCATACGGGGGCTGTAAGCAGGTGTTGCCTTCTTGCGCTAAGAGGATCGCTACAAAGCTTTTCCAGGCCGCAGACACACACCATCCACGAGTAGCACAACTTCCGTACCGGGACCTTATTTGGGACAGAGTTTCTAGGGATTTAGAGGTTTAGGGTTTAGGGCATGCTGGACTCCTTGATGGTGTCAAGGTAATCATCCCAGGTGGTTCCGGAGCGGTACTCATCTGCGCCTGTGTTCCAGGTAGGGCAGCCCGCGATCACTCCATCCAGCTCAGAGAAGTCCTCTCCATCGTAATCCGAGGCTTCCAAACCTATCAGGGCGGTTGTTATGGTTTAGGGTTGAGGCGCTTCCAAACCTGTCTGGAGATTGATGCCGGGGCGCTTCCAACAGAGGACTGGGTTCTCAAGCAGCCGACAAACTCGGAATCTACGGACAGTGGGAATTACAGATGTTGTTGGTGAGGACTCGCTAGGACCCGTCGCCCTAACAGGATTCTGGCTGGTGCTATGGGGGGCAGTTGGAGGAATTTCAGACCTGTAGCTTCTGCCAACTTGGAAGCCACCGTTTCGGTGTTGCCCGTCTGCGTTGCATAGAAGATTCCCACAGCAGCACGCGCAGTGCAGGAGTTCCTCGGCGCGTTGAAAGCTGGTGGGCTCTTACGCCGGAGCTTGTCTACACTAACCTAAACCCCGAACCCAAGACCCTAAACCCGAAACTCTAAACCCCAAACTCTCTTCCAAATCCGGCCCAGCTTCTGCCTACCGAAGGCTTTCAGTTTCTGCTGCAGAGCACTCTGGAAGGAGACCTTTGGCCCTCGAGTTCCTGCGAAGGAAGGTGCCGACCACCGCAACAGGGCGAAGGCTGCAAAGAGCGAGAACAAAGCGAAACGCGGGGCTCTGGCCATCTTAGGCGTAAGCTGAAGAGTAGCTGTGGATGTCCGCTCTACCACCTGGGGCCAAAAACTGCCCAGATGCCCTGCTTGGGGAAGCACATCTCAAGTCTAACCAAAGGCTTTGTGTCATTGGATTCGGCCGAAGAACATCCCGTCCGGTTTCTAGGTTTAGGGTTTCCGGATTAAAAGCAAATACTCAACCAGTTCCTCTGCTCGGAACGGAAATAGGCAGCATCGAAAACGCATGCGCCGAACACCTGGACACAACTTCAGTCTCATGCATCGCTGAACTGTGAAAGCTAGCGCGGCCGCCATGGAAACTGGACCCCAAACCTCATCCCGAAATTCTAACTAAGGGCCGTACATCATGAGGTTACCGAGACGGATCCCAGACGGATTGGCATATCATTAGTGATCAATTAGTGTCATGGGCCCACTGCGGCAGATCAGAACGAGAAAGCCGCCGGCTCCTCGTCTATGTGTCTACATATGCTGTGGTTGAGGTTAATTTTGCCCTTCTTTTCCTTCTCAGACGTCAATCAGAGGTCGCTGGCCGTTCAACTCGTCCCAGCCATTGCGCAACCCTGTTACAAGTTCAACTTCTTGGGATCGTTCCAAGAGTCGTCCTGTTTGACGCTCTTCTTCTTACAAATCTGTACAAGTTTGGTCGAAAGCGATTGCGGCTAATGGCTCCATCGCTGTACATTATGTGTATATATATATATATATATGTATACAAATAATATTTGCAGACAGCCTCTGGTGGCCGGCAAAGCATCAAGTCTGCAACATCTTCTTATTTACAGAGGCATGCCCTCGCCCTTCAGCTGCTCCACCCAAGCTGCGATGCGGTCATCGGTCTGGTCATCTTCGTTGTCTTCATCAAGAGGCAGCCCCAAGAACTTTCCATCTTTCACCTGAGTCTTTCTGCAGTACTGGATCATCCATGTATACATACATTACCTCAAAGGCTACGTTACTGAAACCTTGCTCGTTGATGACACGGTCACGCTCTTGGACTCACCGTAAGAGTAGCCAGATTCATCAACGTAGCCGACCATCTTGGCACCTGCAGCTTGGAAAGCGTTGTGAAGTTCCTCAAGGCCATCACAGAAGTTGTCTGCGTAGCTCTGGGAGTCACCGCAACCAAAAACGGCCACGACCTTGCCTTTGAGGTCGTACTCCTCCATACGGGGGCTGTAAGCAGGTGTTGCCTTCTTGCGCTAAGAGGGGATCGCTACAAAGCTTTTCCAGGCCGCAGACACACACCATCCACGAGTAGCACAAATTACGTACCGGGACCTTATTTGGGACAGAGTTTCTAAAAATTTACAGGTTTAGGGTTTAGGGCATGCTGGACTCCTTGATGGTGTCAAGGTAATCATCCCAGGTGGTTCCGGAGCGGTACTCATCTGCGCCTGTGTTCCAGGTAGGGCAGCCCGCGATCACTCCATCTAGCTCAGAGAAGTCCTCTCCATCGTAATCCGAGGCTTCCAAACCTATCAGGGCGGTTGTTATGGTTTAGGGTTGAGGCGCTTCCAAACCTGTCTGGAGATTGATGCCGGGGCGCTTTCAACAGAGGACTGGGTTCTCAAGCAGCCGACAAACTCGGAATCTACGGACAGTGGGAATTACAGATGTTGTTGGTGAGGACTCGCTAGGACCCGTCGCCCTAACAGGATTCTGGCTGGTGCTATGGGGGGCAGTTGGAGGAATTTCAGACCTGTAGCTTCTGCCAACTTGGAAGCCACCGTTTCGGTGTTGCCCGTCTGCGTTGCATAGAAGATTCCCACAGCAGCACGCGCAGTGCAGGAGTTCCTCGGCGCGTTGAAAGCTGGTGGGTTCTTCAAACACGCCGGAGCTTGTCTACACTAACCTACAGTAAACCCCGAACCCAAGACCCTAAACCCGAAACTCTAAACCCAAACTCTCTTCCAAATCCGGCCCAGCTTCTGCCTACCGAAGGCTTTTAGCTTCTGCTGCAGAGCACTCTGGAAGGAGACCTTTGGCCCTCGAGTTCCTGCGAAGGAAGGTGCCGACCACCGCAGCAGGGCGAAGGCTGCCACGAGAGAGAACAAAGCGAAACGCGGGGCTCTGGCCATGTTAGGGACGAAGTGAAGGGAAGCAGCGGATATCAACTCTACCACCTGGGGCCAAAAACTGCCCGAATGCCCGGCTTTGCCTGGTAAAACCAAGGAAACCTCCTTTCGGGCAAGGGAAGGTCTGGGTAAGGCTTTGGGTGGTTGGATTCGGCCAAAGGACGTTGCATCCTGTACCCTCAAATTCCCAACCAGCTCCTCCGATAGGAAAGGAAATCGGCAGTATCGAAATCCTATACCTGGAAGCTCCTTGACATATAGGACACACTTTAGCATAATTGAAGCCTGCAGGCTTTGACGGCCACATTTTTTCAAGCTCTTGGCTAAGGGCCCCAAACGACCTCCAAGAGGACGCAGCCCAAACCTAAGCCCTTTTAAACCCTCAAACCCTTGAACCCTAAACCCTAAACCCCAAACCCTTACACCGGCTAAAGCCTTAAACCCTTAAACCCTAAACCAAAGTCAGGCGCGGTGAGCCTCCCGTGCTAGCGTGGTGAGACTCTTCCGAAGCCTTGGGTTGTAGCGCTGGCTTTAAGTTTAGGGGTTTAGGGTTTAGGGTTTAGGGGTTTAGGGCTTAAGGTTTGGAGGTTTAGGGTTTAAGGCTTGGGGCTTTAGGGCTTTGAGATTTCAAGCTTAAAGGATTTAGGGGGCTTAGGGCTGATAGGGTCTAGGCTTCGGGATGTTGGGAAGTTGGGCTTTGAGGGAGAGGCTTGGAGTGAAAAAGGTTGGTGGGGCTCAGGGTTCTGGCTGCATTCGGTATGGGTTTAGGGTTTAGGGTTTAGGGTTTAGGGTTTAGGGTTTAGGGTTTAGGGTTTAGGGTTCTACGGAACGCACGGATAAGATCCCGATGGACTCGGTCCCTAATGCACCCGGACTTCCGGAAGTGGCTTAAGCTTTGTCTTCGAGGGGCTCGAGGTTAAAGGTGCCCGACCTCGGCGTTTAGGTATGCTGGTCAGAGCCACAGTACCTCATTTTTGGGGTCCTTATAGTAAGGATCCTACTATTTGGGGTACTATATCAGGGTCCCCTATTTTCGGAGGGTGGAACTCTGCTAGCAGCTTTCAGGCTTCTTCTACCCTAGGAAGCAGGATCTCGGGGTCGGAGCACTTGCGGGGGTTGGGGGTTGAGACGAGACATTCTCTGCCAAGGAGCACTTTGACTCCATGGTCCTGGGCATGTCTCACGGACAGATTTATGGTTGACAGCAGTGCTGCAAGCGAGGCACTATGAGTCGCAAGTCATTCTGTGCAAGCAGGTTCCAACTCAGTCCATGAAACCACCACCGCTGTGGTCCGTGGTACCTGCCTCGTGGATTAGAATGGAGCTTTTATACCAACAAAGATATCTGCCGAAAGTCCTCCCAGAGCGCATACTCCAGGAAGCGCTGGTCAGCAAAGTTCCGCTCGTCGTCCTGGACGACGAAGAGGACCTGCAAGTGGATGCGAAGAGGCTTTGCGGCTGTACTACATCTATAATGCGATGCTATAAGCTTCTTGACGAGAAGGCTCAAATACGAGAAAGCAATAATAATAAGGCTGAAATGCGAAGTACAAAGGTTGCTATGAATAGGCTCCTTAGCTAGCCATAGTGTCCTCAAGACGACATGGCAGCTCCCTTTGAAAAGGGATCCCCGTCATAGCAACTGGCACATGAGCTGTACTATAGTCTGATCTCCTTAGCTACCCTTTTTGATGAGCCCCATAATAGGGCTCCGGCCCCACACAATCCCCATCTATCCCCCTTAACTGGCCTTTCAAGTAACCAGGGAGAACAAGTATAAACTTTAATTTCATGATGGTTCCTTTAAAAAAGTATTAAAGTATGGCACTCCAAAGCTCAGTTAAAGAATAAGAGCTCAAATGAGATCAAACCAACTTGAACCCATAGCCTGGTGAATCCTTGAGACGCTCGAACCTCCTCCGAAGTCACCTATCGCAACCCATACTTCCCCTGGTGCCGCCTGCGAAGCAGCTATGTACTCTTCCGAGAAGCTGATAAAGCCCTATACACCCTAATGTAGGAACCTGATTAAGAAACTTTGGGCCTTTATTAAGGTTCTTTATATGAATCCTACTATGTTGGCGGTTATAGGCCCAGGGTTTCTTAAGCAGGTTCCTACATTACACCCTAAACCCTAAACTTTCTGGCCAGGGCTTGAAACACCGAACACTACAACTCTAAACGTCTTAAACCACAATAGCCAAGGGGCAAAAGCATCCTTGACACCGTGGGCGGCGTGCGCTTTCGCAAAGGCGCGAGGGATTTCCTGTGGCGTGCGAAGGCTCAGAGAATCAGGAATTTGCGACATGAGGTCTCTCGGTTTGGACTTGGTACTTATGGGATTTAGGGTTGGGCATGTCTTTTTCTTGACCCCCTATGTCTTTTTTTTGACCCCCGATCTTTTTATTGACCCCTGAACATCTGTATTCTGACCCCTGAACCACTTCTTTCTGACCCCCGTATCTTTGGTTTGACCCCTGCTGTCTTGATTTTGACCCTCCTGTAGCCAGGCAGGCCAGAGCCTAAACAAATAAGCCCCCCGCCACAAGCTACAATATCTGGAAAATTATATTTCACCCCTCCTTACACAAAAAACTGATTACACGACCTGGCTAAGCACCCGGGTGGGTTGCGCGCAGCCTTTTTTCAGTCAATCGAATGGGTTCGCAGGATTCGCACAAGTTCGCATGGCGGGATGTCCATGGTTGGTGATGGCACGCCATTCCTTGGGGGTGGCCTTGCAAACCCGCTGAAAGGATTGGGGAGCGCGCAGCCCCTTCTTCCAGGCGTTCGCACGGGTTCACTTCATGGGGGAACGAGGCGCAGACTGTGCCTCAATAATGACCCCTTTACCCTTCCAGGCAGGTTGCTCTTCTTCCAAGCATGCGCACTGGTTCGCTTCATTCGCACAGGCCTGCGTGATGGGATATCCATGGATGGTGATGGCACACCGTTCCTTGGGGTCGCTTCGCGTTCTTTCGCGCAGCACAGAATTGGTATCGGGTACTTACGTGTATAGGTTCGCGCGGGGACAGGGTTTTCGCTTCATTCGCACAGGCTTGCATGATGGGATGTCCATGGTTGGTGATGGCGATGAGGTGGAGTTGGACATCATGACAGCTTGGGTTCATGCATGTGGAGGCCTGATTCATGGTGGGGAGAAGTGCCGGGACAACTTGTTGCTGAGCCAGTTTCCACAGACTGGCTGGTGCGAAGATGGAGGGAAGAGCCTTGTTGCCCCCCAGCCGTTTGAGAGCTTGCAGTAACTCTAGTTCCTCAAGCTGAACGGCCTGAAAGTCAGCATACTTCGGAGCTTCCTTGATGGCTCTGCCAAAGACTTGACGAAGGAATCCTGCGATTTGCTCCGCCTCCTCTACTCCCGCTAGAAGTCTGCCCTCTTTGTCCCGTAGCTGAATGCGTACGGACCTGGTCTTAGGTGCTAATCTTCGGACTACACTGTAGATCGCTGATGGCTGTGTGGAAGCCTCAGCTTCCTGCAACAAGGCATCAACCCGGTTCCTTTTCTTGTCTATGCAGGCCTTGCGGAGAAGTCTCTGGATTCTCTTGAGACAAGCAGCACGGAACCATCCTCGGAGCACAGAGTGAGTTCGCGGGGGCTGAGCGTGCTGTCTGCCTGCGGCCCATAGTTGTCTAGTAAGGCCCCAGTGTGTCCGGCTGCGGCGCCGAAGCAGGGGGAGGGGCTTTTGGCTTAGCCTCCTGCCAGGCTTGATGCAGGGTCACCTGCCACATTGGGCGGCATGAGTGCAATCACCTGCTGTTGGAAACGGACTGCAAGGGATGGGTCCTGATGCAGGAACAGGTTGACCTCCTTGGCAGTCGGAGGGGCTGATATTCTGGGGCCGATCTAACAATGTTCCGGTTCAGCAGCTTATCCCAGATATCACTTTTTGAGAGATTGGGATGGTCCTTTGCGTCGAGCTTCAACTTCTTGAACTCGTAGAAGGTCATGCTTTCCAGGCCTTTGTCAAGCATCTGATGCATGATGTACTCTCGCAGGTTATCCCAAGTGGTGTCTTTCTCCTGTCGCTCCGCCTCGCTGTCAGCGTCCGCTTCCAGCATATTTGCAAGACCTTCTTGCACGTTCTGCTGTCGTTGTCGAAGTTTACAGATATCCATCCCCCCCGTAGCAGTAATCCTCAATCAATTGGTAGCAGTCCGCCTTGTTGTGGTCTCTTTCGAATGCCCACTGGAGACGCAGACCCGCAATGGAAGCCTGAGATGTGGTCAGGAACTTGTTGAGACTCGGGTCTGCTTCGAAGATGCCGTCAAGCTGATGATCCTCATAAGCAGTGAGAAACTTCTTGTGGAGAAAACGAGCTTTTGCCTTCCACACCAGGGCACGTCGGAACATGGAGTTGAACGTACTGTTGCCGACGCCTGTAAACTTCATGATCCGGTTGACTTCGAGCCTAGTCCATCCAACTGTATGGAACATCTTGGTGCTGTATCCATACGGCCATACGGCTTGCGCCCCATGATTCCATCAGCGGAAATAGTCTTTTTGTAGAGGTCAATGTGAAGCTTCTTGTTGCTCTCTGGTGCCTCTTGTCCTGTCATGATGAAGGATCTTGCGAAAGTCCCGACTTGCTTGCGGAGTTCCTCGTCCAGGTACCAGATATTGGGGTCGAAGTAGACGTGGTTATGTTTGTACATCTCCGACAAATCAAGAGAGTACAAGCTCTGACCCATGCCGCCAGGAGATATTCATCTGTCCACGTTGCATCCCCGTTTGGCAATGGCAATGGCAGCCTGACAGCATCTGAAAACTTCCACGTTGCACCAAAACGTCTGCGCATAGAACTTCTCCAAACGATCTGTGTGTGTCTGGAGTACGGGATCCAGCAAAGGATGTGGAATCTTCACGTAACAATTGTTGCAGGACCCTTCCGCACCACTTGTACAGGACTCTCAGACAAAGGGGAATCGTACACAAAGCAAACACCACATAGGTTACTAGAGCTGTCGAGATTATGGTTAAACGGCTTGGTGGGTGCATCTCCATCACTACTATATGCGTTATATGGCCGCGATGCAGCAGAAACCTGCAGCTTATTCCATGCCCCTTTCGCGAAAAACCCTTTCAACACCAAGTCTCAACTCGACACTAGCATGCCCTGGGATGATTTTAGGGGTTTAAGCTAAAAGCGCTACTTTTCTTTTCTAGTACGAACAAATTCCCGGCACCACCCCGAAAGCCTAGCAAAATCGAAAAGCGCTGGTTATTTAAAGGTACTTTGGCGCCCCAGGTTCTTCTGTTCCTGCTGCCTCAGGGGTCGTGCGAAGCCCCCCCACAGAGGTCGATTGAACCCCTCTTGCCGGTCGGGGAGGGCGCTGTTTGAAAGGTCCCTGGACTCCATCCGACAGGTGCGCACCGCAACGGCCGGCCGGGTGGGGGAAAGGACTTCCGGGGTCAAACAAAAGATAAAACGGGGTGACCCACGAGATCGGCATCGCGATAAGGGTAAATCTAGGGGGGTTGAGGGAAGACATAGGGGGTCAGAAAAAAGACATAGGGGGTTGAACTGCAGATAGGAAGCACACTGGGGCTGGCAGGGGGAGGGGGCGGGGCTGCCCCGGGGTTAGGGGTCAAAAAAAAGATGCAGGGGGTCAGAAAAAAGAGGTCCCCTTTAGGGTTTGGGGTGGCCAGGTACGCTTGAAGGTTTCGAGACATGGATGTTTCAGGATGAAATTTCGGCCTGGTGACATGGAGGTCGAGGGTTGAATGCTTGGGACTACCAGCAGCCAACCCCAAGAACTCGAGGTAACAACGAACCCATGAATGTAGGAGCCTAAGTAAGTACCGATGCTATTTTGGGGTTCCTTTTTATAACTATATAGTATAACCGGCTCCAAAACCCTATTCTAACTACTAAGGCCCCCATATTGTATATGCACAGGAGCCCAAAAGAAACCTCTAACGGAATAGAATCTGAAGCCAAACTCAAATTCGTCACCAGACCCCCATGCACTCCTGAGCCCCGACTCGTCCTCCTGCGACCAAAAGCCTAAGTTTTAACTCCTTGCGAGGGATGGACAACAGAAAACTCGACGCTTTGAAAAAGGCTAGTCAAGACTCCAGACCATTGAATGGGCATTGAATCCCTAAACCCTGAACCCTATACGGGTGAGAGACTATAGACTATACAAAAAGCAAGATCCGGACCGAGTCCTTCAGCGCCACATTCTCTGGGAGCCTGTCCACGATCCTTGCATCAGGAAGCTGGCTTCATGCACACAAACGATGCACTCCGATTGATCAGGATGCGGGGTCTCCTCAAGACCTTCAAGAGCCACATATCATGTCGTTGTTTAAATAGAGCGTGCTGCCGCTCATCCACAGGAAAAGAGCCTTTCTTAGCATCCCTGGTTCTGAGAAGCGCTCATGTCTCAATGCCCTGACTCCTTCCATGTGGCTGGTTGTCAAAATTATGGTCCCTTTTTGGGTCCCTATTATAATACCGCACCTAATATTTAGGGGTCCCACAAAGGGACCATGATTGTGACAACTACCCATGTAGCTCGGCGATAAAGTTACCGTAGTCATCAGGAGTTCCTCTCACCAAACTTTGGCATAGCCTGGAAGCGCCCAAGTACAGAACGTTAGAGCTGGAACATGAAATGTGATGGATGAACCCTGTCTGTACAGCACCGCGAAAGGAGACAACCCCATGGGTACGCATCATCGTTCGTCCAAGACGGCCGAATGACCAAACAGAAAGATGTGTGTGGTCGAGCAGCTGCGTGCTGGGCACACCAAAGTGAGCCTGTAGGCTGCGGCCAACATCGTCCTGAGAAGGAGGCATAGAAGCCAGCTGCCCCTAAACCCCTAAACCGTAATTCAGCTTGCGGGTTTACGGATACGGCGCGCCATTAGGGCTTAGTCTGTTGCCTTGGCCCGGACTTCCAAATCCAAAGCGCACGCAAGGGGAGAACAAAAACACTAGAGTAGAAAAGAGAATGGAATACAGGGTCTGGGTTTGACATCATGATGCTCCCTACGGAAGATTGAGCACATTCCGAAGCTTAGCTGCTCAAGTACATCTTCGAAAACAGAGCTGCAAGATAATCCCATGACACAGTTTTGCGCATTTGCCCCTAAACCCTAAACCCTAAACCCTAGACTGGGAGGACCCCAACTAGAACCTAACCCGTACACCCCAACTTCACCGGAGCCGAGCAATACCATATGCAGGTACGAACAAGGATCGACTTCGAAGCAATAAATCAGAAGCATGCATGGTGCATGCGGATCACGGATTCAGAATTCAACTATACGCGCCCAAGTACCTCAAACGGGTTTAGGATTTCGGGTTCAAGATCCATGGCTTTAGGGATTATTGGACTAATTACAGGTTTGGGGTTACACTGACTGCAGCCGTCACCGGACCAATTAATTTGACTGCATCCGAGACACTGACTGGCTGCCATACCGACCCAAGACGTAGTTGTGAAGCTTCCGCACGTTGGCAGAATGCGAGGCCATGGAAGAGGCTATGGTGTTCAGCTCGACCTGTTTGTTGCCGGTCGTCGGGGAAGACTGGGTTCTTGCTAAGGAATTTAAGTTATCAGAATAAGGCAGCCATGTTATCTAGTACGGACCCCGTTGTGGTAGCTTAAGCCTTAAGCCCTGAACCCTGCAAGGAACCCCAAAAGATCTCTATCATGGTAGAAGTGCTCTCCGACCAAAGTTTGCTTCAAGGCTTCTGGATGTAACCTGGGGCTGTGCCGCACTGGGGCCTCCCGTGATCTCTGGTTACAACTGGTTCGAAAAAGGGAACCTAGTGGTGACTTGCTTGAAAAAAAGACTGGGATTCTGCATGATGATCCAATGCAACCTTACCTCATCGTAAACAAAACCAATTGCCAACATCTCAAGGACTGAGATGAGCGACGTTTGCAAATTTCAGGGGGAAGTATCACCCAAAACAATACCGAGGACCCTTTGAGAAAACCTTAATCCTACTGTTCACGCTATGTGTGCACTCGCATCAACCTGATCACGCCTCATGGCCCAAAACCCCAAACTCCCTCAATCGCATAGCCCTAAACCCTAAACTGTGAAACCCTAAACTATGGCCCCAAACCCAAATTTCCATCCACAATGCCTGCAGGAAGCGCGGAGTGCCGGACTCATGCAACATGTAGTCCTTAGCAGCCAAATGCTTACCCTGAGAAACTCGGAGCCCGTGAACACCTCACGACAAGACGCAAAAGTGAGTCCGTGACCAAGCTTCAACTCCCTTCATCTACACCTCCAGAGTTACACCCCGTGTGCTGAATCACGACTTCGTAGATCGTCTTATACCTACACGATGTCCCGGAACCCTGGCTTGCCAAATCCAAGCCGCAAATACCCATGACTGTTGAGCCCTAAGTTCACCCTGCAGGCCCTTCACACCCTTAACACAAACCCCAACCCAAAACCCCAAATCCAAAACTTCAAACCCTTAAGACCCTGAACCCAAATCCCCGAAACCCCTCAAGCCCTAAGCCCCGAACACTGGCCAACGAGCCTTTTGGAAGAAGACTTGCTTCCAGACAAGCTTCCAAAAAAGCCTAAAACCCTTAAGCCCTGAAGCTCTAAAGAAAGAACATACACCCCTGAATCCTAAATCCGAACGATGAGCTCCCTAAAACCCTTAAAGCCTGAAACTCTACAAACCCTAAACCCCACCTGAACCCCAAGAAACCTCCATTTTTAAGGACGTATATCAGGAAATCATAATAGGGAACCCTGATAAAAGTAGGCTATTCGGGGTTAAGGTAGACCCTACTTAAAGGCTCATGGGACTTCCTATAGATCCCTTTAAGGAACCCTATAGATCCCTTTGAGGTAGACCCTAAAGTCTATGATCCTCCTAGGAAGACTTCCAGACCAGCTTCCGAGCGATGGATACCGAGCATCATCGGTTGCCGAAGGCCCTGTTTTTTCAAAGGGGAAAAGGAGGGACCCTTTAATTTAGGGCGCTTAGGGTTCCTGTAAAGGGATCTATAAGGGTTTAGGGTTTAAGGGAAAAGGAGGGACCCTTTAAAGGGATCTCTAGGGATTCTATCAGGGTATAGGGTTTAGGGTTTAGGCCCTGAGGGGTTGAGACTTTGAGATTTTAGGGTTAAGGGTTGAGAGGTTGGGGCCTAGGGTTTAGAGTTTGGGGTGTAGGGTTTAGAGTTTGGGGTTTAGAGTTTAGCTTTGGGGTTTAGGGTTTGAGATTGTGGTTTAGGGTTTATGATGTAAGGGTTCGTGGGGGCTTAGGGTTTAGGATTTTAGTAGGGTTTTAGGGTTTTGGATGTATGGGTTTCGGGCTTTGGGGGTTTTAAGGTTTAGCATTTCTGGGATGGGTCTTGGCATTTAGGGGTTTACAGTTTTGGGGTATGGGATTTTGGGGTTCCCAGACTCCCAGAGCCTTGAATCAGAACAAAAACTGTCAGGTGCAGCAAAGACCCACTAAGCCTACGAAGGTGCATCTGGCAAAACCACAACTTAGACAACTCTACACCTTGAGTCCTCAAGCACCCCTCAAGGTTAAGAAAGAACCCTAGACCAAACCAGAGTGAACCTTTGACCTCTTCGCAGGGGCCTCTTTGTGCAGTTCCTTGGACATCTGCAGCAGTCGAGCCGTGAAGTCATCCGCCTTCGCTGCGGGCTCCTGAAAGCGGCAGAGTTCGGAGCCCCCAGAGATCCCAATACCCCTGAATTAAGGAATATTCCCTAAAATTAAAATAGGATCCTTTATAGGATTTAAGGTGTATATATATATATATATATATATATATATATATATATATTCCTTAGTTAAGGGATATTGGGTTCTCTGGGCCCTTGTTGAGTCGATAAGATGAAGCTGGGCTTTTAAGTAACCAGGGAACAAAAAGTATAAGCGTTTATTTCATAAAGGTTCCTTTAAGAAAAAAGGAAGAAAGCATGGTACTCCAAAGCCCAGGAAGGGATACTCTACCTTATACAATTTTCCGAAGTTGCGAAGTTGAATCAGAAGCTTACGGTTCGTCACAGGCTTTAAAGACAATGGCACTGCAACACTGGACACGCGGTGGCTTGAGACAGGGATTGTGCTTGCGGCAATTGCATTCAATTGTTGGGGTTTACGGTCTTCGGGCGGGGGCTGAGAATCCTAAAACCTTGAAACAGACACGAGCAGGTTTAGGGATTAGGGGTTTAGGGTTTTAGGCTTTAGGGTTTATATATAAGGAGTTCGGGGTTTGGGGTTTATAGAGCTTAGCCTCTGTCACACAACGACGGTCCCCAACCACCATGCTCGCCACAGTCTGGCATGAGGATGAAATCCGATGCTGGGGTGCCTCATACGAAGGACCTTCTCAAATCCTGTCCGAGATCTCGACCCTAAACCCAATATAGCACTGTTGCAGGAACCGAGATCCCGACCCTAAACCCATTAATTATAGCACTTACAGGAACCGAGATCTCGATCCTAAGCCCCGTTATATCACTATTATCGGCACCGAGATCCCGACCAGTGTGGCGTAGAGCCATTGAAGGTCGCGTGCTGCCGCGTCCACGAGCCTTGGACTTTAAGACTCTGGGCCGTGCGACAGGATCTATAAGGGCTTCTAGGATCTATTCGGGTTTCTATATAAGGTTTCCATAAGGGTTTCGGTGGGATTTCCATAAACAAGGGTGCGATAAGGGTTTACATGGGTAGTTCTCTAAGCTAGGGTCCTTTCTACAGCTCCTTTGGGACCTGATTAACACAAAGGGACCCTAACGTAGAGCACTCGCCACAAATTCAGAAGGAGAGAAGAGAACCAACCAAGCCACCAAAACATCAAATAACCCTAAATCTTTAAACCCCCAAACCCGAAGATCACCAAGGCTAAGCAAGACCCGGAGCATAAAAGAAACCACCCCCAAAATGTAAGCCGAAGGCGCTGGTTCCACAACGGGCTCAAGGCTACGCACTCGTCGAAGGCCCGGCGCGGAATCTTGAAGGGCAGCATCGCCTCGTCTTGAGATTTAGGGCTCTGGGTACAGGGCAGAAGGTTTAGGGCGTACCCCAAGGGTCCAAGTACCCAATAATCATATACTCTCCAAAATCCTAACCTACATAACTACTATCCTAAAACCGAGTACCTAAGTAAAGGGTCCTTTGAACCCTTGGGGTTAGGGCTTAGGGTTTAGGGCTTTGGGTGGAGGTTCTGCCGAGGATTCGGCGTTACAGGACGTGGTATGCCTTCTTTAGGATTTCCATAGATGTCCAGCACCGGCACCGACACCATCTCACATTGGCCGTCAGCAAAGGTCTCTCTCACATTCTGCCACCAGTAGGAGCCCTGCACGCTCGAGAAAATGCAATCAAAGGACTGAAACCCCAGGGCCCAAACCGCCAACTACGTAGTCAAGGACCCTCAGCGAGGACCGTCGGCCAAGAGACGACCGGGCACTGCGTGGCGGCGCTGGCATCCGAACTTCTGTCCTAGCGCGAAGCCACAAAGCAAGCAGACTCATACTTCTGCAGAATTTTTTGCTGTGGTCCCCGCATAAACCCCTAAACCACCAAAACCTCAAACACGAAACCCCGAACCTCTACCTAATCGCGGACGCTGCAGTTCTCTCTATGCGTCGGGGTCCTTTGCCCCATAGAGCAGACCATGAAGTTCGGCAAACCTGCTCTTTACACGAATAGGGTTTAGGGTTAAGGGTTAAGGGTTTAGGGTTTAGGGTGAAGTTCGGCAAACTTGCTTTTTACACGAGTAGGAAGGAGGCGAATAGGGCTTTAAGTCGTGCTCAGATGGAAGCTGTGGGGTACAGATGCTGTCGAGAGTTGGCATATTAGATGAACTTTGGCTTGGGTGTTCGCTTGTGGGCCAATGTTCACAGAGTCCGAAACCTTGGGATACATGCTTTGCAGCGCACGGCTGACCCCCCTGGCTTAATCATCTCTGCTGGTGTGGTGGCGCAAAGGCTGGGGCTGGAGGCTTCGACATCGATTGGGTCTTGGCCAAAGGGTACGAAGCTCGAACTATTCTGGAATTTCCGAATAAGTGACGTCATTGAAGCCCAAAGACTCCAAAGCCCCTGAAACTGCCAGGACTTGCTGCAAGTTTCCATTCAAACCTGAAGCAGACACCAGATCAGCGCCAGGAAGACCGGGGAGGCGTTCTGAGGCACCCGGCTGAACAGTGTGGGGGAGGAGTCGCTGTGCAGCCGCCTCTCATGAAGGAGCATACTTGAAGGCTCATTTGGCCGTAGTAAGTAAGGTCATAAGTAGGTTAAGTAGGAGACCCACTTAGGGGACTTATAACCCCAAATTATAACCTACTTACTAAGCCCCATGATCCTCTAAGTGCACAGGTTCACTGGATCCCTGAAACCTCAAGCCGTAAATTCTGAAGCCTTCGTGCCCCAAACCCTAAAGCGGTCTAAAGCATTCTGAGACCCTTTTGCCCGGTTGAAGCCTTCAACCTGTCCATCTCGCTTGTAATAACCCTTCAGGGAACCTTTAAGGGAGCCCTATTTCTTAGTAGTCCAGGCCCCTTATGTTCGTTAACCTGAGCAGACATGATCTCCAGCCTGCAGAGGCAGCTCCTCACAGCGCAGGGGTCGGCTGCATTCCCAGCCCTCGCGGTTGCCTCTGTGCTCGCAATTTAGGGCTTAGGGTTTGCGCCCGTTTAGGGTTTTGGGCTTCAGAACTTTGCAACTCCCTATTCACCCAAGAGGTTTCGGTTTCGACGGCGCAGTTTGCCGCTGGCTTTCGTGTTACAGGCGCAGCCCCCAGGACATGGCGTCTGGAGAAAGCCTCGAACTCACTCGTCGCCCAACCCTAAGTGGTCCTGCACTTTCAACGTTTCACCCCTGAGGATGTGTCCTACAAACCGATTCCTGATCCCGAATCTGTCGTTGCAGCCTTCTCGTCGATCCCAGTGCAGCTTCACCGTCGCAGCTGAGGCCTCGGATAAAAGCTTTTCGGGGATACGTGCACAAGTCTTTCAACTCCGCAATCCGGAACGAACGAATCGTAAATCCCAAGCCCTGGCTCGGGGGTTGCAGGGCTGTTATGTTAAGAGTCAGGAGAGTTTCGGCTCATAGCAAAGAACCGATTAAAACCTCTGAGCTTCCAGATTTTCCTTGCTTGTGGAGCGGCTTATCCCACATCTCTGCAGCACAAGTCCGCTCTCTTCGGACTGTGTGGAAACCTCTAAACCTCTAAACCTTTAAACCCTAAACCGCTGTAAACCCTTAACCCTAAACCGCTCTAAACCCTAAACCCTGCAACCTTAAGTGTTTCCAGGCTCCGGCGGGCCACTTTGAGTTCGACGTCTGCGTTGCCAGCTTGCAGTCTGGGGTCTGGCTTGTGAGTGCGATATCTATACATACATATATATATATATATATATGCATATTATATATATATATGTAGATGTATGTTCATATATACATATATGCTCATATATATATATATATATATATATGGACAAAAAGGTGGAGGTCGTAACGTCTACAGCTCTTTGCAGTCAAGCGGCGACGGCGATAGCCCGGCGAGCATTCACGGCAAACATAGCCGCGGCAGTGTGCGGCCACACGAGATGTGGAATACTAAGATGTTATTGGGGGCATAACCCTAAACCTGAAACCCTAAATCTTCCGAGGCTGTGCATCACCTATCGGAGCATGACTCCGGGGATCGACAGAGAGACGATCCGTCGTTGCAGTCGAGGTCTGGAGTGCTGGAATGTGGTTACGGGGGCTGATCCACAGCTTGCTTGCTGCTGCTGGCACATGTCGAAAACACTCGAAACGAACGCACCTGTTCTCACAATCCAACATGCCCTGCATGCCAAATGAGGCTCTACTTCCTACTTGCACAGCAGGCTCGTGCTCTCGCAGCCATCTCTTTCCCAACATGGTGCACATCTCTGTCTCCGAACTTGCCTGCAGCATCTTCTGGCTGATGAGTGGCAACATTCCTTTGAATTCATCGGCAAGTCCAAAGCAAGCTAAAATCTCTACCAATCCCAAGCTACGGCTGGACTAAGCAGCGGTCCCCACTCAGGCATTCCGAGACTGGCAATCCGACTGTGGCACTCGGGTCGGGTGCCGATTGATTGCCGTCCAGGCATCACAGGTTTGACCTGTTGATGTTAACCAGCGACTGCCGGACTTGGCTGTGAATATAGCACTCGGGTCGGCTGTCGTCGAAGGCATCAAAGAGCCGATTCACGTACGCTCCCATGGAGTGGTCCTTCAAACACTCTGGGGTGAGCAGGCACTCCTTCCAGCGAGCGACCGGCCTCGGGCTTAGCACCTTCAGCTCTGCAAAGTGCTGATAGCGTCTAGCAAAGTCCTCCAACAGCTGGAAATCCGGTCGGCTTAACACATGCTGCGCTGCGGCAGCCACGACCTGCGAGGCCACCCTTCCTTTGATGCTGCCCACCTCGTCGACTAGTCCGTTCTGAACACTTTTGGCGGCCACTTCCACAAACTGCCGGAGATTGAGGGCACCCCAGGCACGCGGGCAGGGGTCGTCCTCATTGATGTAGTTCACGGCTCGCTCCTGCGCAAAATCTTTGAAGTCTTGTGCTTGTTGAGCCGCCACCCAAGACTCCGAAGACCATCGGAGAGCCGAAGGTGACGCACCGCATCTCGAAGCCGGACAAAAAGGATACAGCATCCTGGGAAGCCTGGCAATGGCCGTCCATCTTCCAAAACATGTAGAGTAGCACTGCAGCATACGTTCCTCCCAAGGAGTGACCCGTGAAAACGACCCTGTGCACCCCGTTCTCTCTCGCCTCCTCCAGACGCTCGAGCAAACTCTGCTTAAGCCAGAAGTATGCCGCCTGAACTGTGCCCGCTGCTCCACCGTGGACGAAGAAATCCGGATCTCCGGTCATGGCATGATTCAGCTCCAGATTCCAATTGAACAAATCCCCGATGTGGGAGGTGCCCTTGAAGGCGACGTACAGCACCTTGCCAGTTGGCAGGTCAGCCGTGACGCTTGCGATCTTCACGGCGGCACCTAACTCACCGGGGTGAAGGACTCGATGAACTTGTAAGGAAGCATGCTCGAGTTGTGGGGGCTCTGGCTCGTCCGTGTACACCCAGTAGCTCAATGCAGCTGCAACAAGCTCTGCGAAAACGTGCGTCTGCTGGACAGTGCTTTGCTGCAGACTAAGGCTGAGTTGGGAGGCTTTGCATGGCTGTAACTCCACAATCAAAGCTTTCCCAGCATCGAGAGGCACTGCCACTACCTTGCCATTCACGTTGCAGACAAAAGCAAATTTCCACCACCTGCTTGCGTCAACGCCTGCGGGGAGGTCGATGGCCGAAGCCTCGCTAGCCGCAGGGTCCACTACCAAAATTTTCTCAGCATGACACGGCGCCACCACTGCCTTGCCGTTCACGCTGCACACTGCCAGACGTCTGTCTCTCCCAATCGCATCAATGCTTGCGGGGAGGTCGATGGACGAAGCCTGGCCAGTTGCAGGTTCCACCACCAAACTTTTCTCAGCATTCGCAGGCACCGCCAGCGCCTTGCCATTTACGTTGCAGACGGACACATAATTATACCCGTGGAATGCATCCATGCCTGTGGGGAGGTCGATGGCCGAAGCCTGGCCAGTGGCAGGGTCCACCACCAAAATCTTAAAGGCTGGAACAGGCACAGCCACTGCCTTGCCGTTCACGTTGCAGACGGGCGCACGTGCCCACCCTCTGCTTTCACGAATGCCTCTGGGGAGGTCGATGGCCGAGACCTGGCCATTGGCAGGGTCCACCACCAAAATCTTCTCAGCCCTGGCAGGAACGGCCACTGCCTTGCCGTCCACATTGCAGACGGACCCATATTTCATCTTCCTGCTTGCAACAATGCCTGCCGGGAGGTGGATGGCCGAAGCCTGGCCAGTTGCAGGGTCCACCACCAATATATTCTCAGCATCGTACGGCACCGCCACTGCCTTGCCATTCACGTTGCAGACGGCCCGAAATTTCTCCGGTCTGCCTG